CGTGAAATTTTTAACCATTTTCCAATGTTTGAACTATTTTTGCATAGACTAAAGTACAAAGCAGTGGAAATCAGGCAATCGTTCGATGGGCTGAATTGCACAAAACGCATGATCACACCGGCTAGTCTGGTGCGCGTTAGGCAATCGTTCGATGGGCTGAATTGCACAAAACGCATGATCGCACCGGCTAGTCTGGTGCGCGTTATAATTATTTTGACATTCGTTTCATCTGTTGATGGGGTTGCCTGCTTAACGATTTTCCCGACAGGGTTGCCGGCATTTCGTGATGTCGTCGGGCCACTTCTTGATGGCAGTGATGTAGCTCATCTGCATTTTCTAGTACTGCATTTAAACCATACAGCCATGGGCTTCTCAAAATAACTCTGGAAATGCAGCGCTTTAAATTTTACATAAATGGCATCAGTTAATGGGGCACTTTGACTGCTGGTTTATCGCGTAGCATACTGCCCTCAGTGTGCCCGGTATTCCTTTTGTGATTTTTGTGACCAGTATGATGTTTGTTCGCCCCGTGGTCCTCGGCTTTTGTGACTATCTTTGCGTTATTCTCTTCTACGAATACCCATTGTTTGCTGTAGCAGCAGCAGGAATGGGAGGAAATTTCCGAGTACCGCATGACACTGTGTTCTTCTGTTCCATATCTTTTTGTGCATAATGGCTTTTGTTTAGTTGCGAGCGCTAAATAATGCTAGTGCTGATTTAATTTAAGCAAGGCACAGTGATTGAATTCGTTCTCGCTGGCTAGAATATGTGCTTTCCCGTGTTCAGAGTTAGTCAGAAAGGCTTTCAGGTGGTGAACAGACGGGACATTGATGAACTTCGTGATGCAATGCTTGGTTTCGACAGGAACCTTAAAGCACCTACCTTAGAAGATATGAGGAAGAAGAAGGAGAAAGAGATGAATGCTGAATTGCTGCAAATCGAAGAAAGTCCGGTAAGAACGGTTTCAGCTGAGGCTTACTTCTGAATTGCTTGCCATTAAAATGTTACACTGTGGGTATCCATTTTGCAGAGTGAAGAAGAGAAAGAAAGGATAGAAAGATTGAGAATGGCTGCCGAGGTGAGAAGGAAAGAAGAAAAACGGCTTTTGGGAGAGTTCAGGAAAGTAAGTCTAATGCTATTTTCGTTTCTGCCAAAGCATAATGCTAAATTGATGAGACAATCAGGAAGAGTAGAAAGCTTTTTTTGTTTGCAGTAGAATCGAGCTATTTCAGCTGGGTCTTGTAAATGATGATGAAAAAGAGCTTGAAGAAGTCAAGGATAGCAGCACAAAGCGCCGTCTGGAACAAGCAAAGTGATCAGTTGGCAACTTTTCATAATTGTTGATAATGCTGCATGTTTAGACTTTTGAAAAAGAGGTGCTGCTCATATACGGTCCCGTCCTATCCGTTCCGTTTAAGGGGGTTTCTCTGGATCGAGGGTATTCAGCACTGTCTTGCACTTTGGTGAGCTTCGATCTTACCCAATTTGGCGCTTCCTAAATGCAAAACTTATGAAATTGCAGAGGGGCCTGTTTGAATGCAGCCCTGATATGTGCACCTCATTGTATCATATTTGTGCAGATTCAGTAACCTGTAAAATATCTTAGGTTTTGTTGTAATTGCTGCGACTAGCATTTGAGAAGATACTTTCTGATGGCTTTTTTGCTCAGTTGGGTTTGCATGTTAATTCGAGGTTCTGCGCATTTCAAATTTCGTTGTCGCAAGATTGGTGCAGATTTTTCAAATCGTCAGCGTGAATAATTGCACCAGTGTGTTGTTGCGTGTTCGGGTGCAATTTTACTTCATCTAGATTTTTGGGTGTGCAACATTGCTAGACTTGATTTAAATGTTTTTTTTTTTTCAGTGCGAGAAACTTATTGGCACTTGTTGGAGTTTGCTTTGATATCTTTCT